CACGTTGCGTAATTGTCTCCGTTGAACTTGTCAATGGAGGCGTTGCTGGTGGACGACATGGCGCTTGGGCTCATAATCTGTTGCATTGTAGATCGGAGCGAGGAAAGCGGAGCGAACGGAGCGGAGAGACCGAAGAGAGTAGAGCAGAAAACACTTTCCCAATAGTTGGAAGATTGGAAAGTGATTGGTTATCGGGGCTTACTACTTACTACATGATTTATATGTGGTGCACATATAAATCATGTGAAGCGTCTCATCATCCTACGCGTCTAATCAACTATGGTAATTACCGTAAGAACTACGTCGTAAATACTAAGCTGAACAGGCGGTTCGGATTGGACCGGTCACGGTTACCAACACTGGTAGGAAAACGAGGACCGTCAACACGCCCCCTCAATCCAAAGGCTCACGAATCTCGAGAGCCGTCGTCATCTCCTTGTGGCGTGGTCCATGAAGTCCCTTCGTCATGATGTCCGCTAACATCACGGAAGTCTCGCAATACTCGAGCTTCACTTCACCGCGCTTGACCTCATCACGGATGTGATGGTACTTGATGTCGATGTGCTTGGCGCGGCCATGATTCACCGGATTCTTCGTCATCTTGATGCACGACTGGTTGTCTTCACGGATGACGAGGTCCAGTCCTGGTTCGTTTGCGGCCGCCAAAATCTCGCATAGCAGGCAATGCACCCGCTTGCCTTCCTGGATGGCCAGACTCAGTGCGATGTATTCCGCTTCACTCGTCAACAGCGACACAATTGACTGCTTCTTGCTTCCCCAACTCACAGGAGCACCCATCAGCATGAAAGTGTAACCCGAAGTCGACTTGCGATCAGCGTGGTCGCCGGCCCAGTCCGCGTCCGAGTAGCCACGAAAGTCGATCTTGTCGCTTGGCTGGAAGCGGAGTCCGTGCGACTTGGTCCCTTGTAAGTAACGAAAGATGCGCTTCACCGCCGTCCAATGTTCTTGCTGCGGATTCTTCATGAAGCGCGAGACGTACCCCACAGCATACGCAATGTCCGGGCGCGTCGCAGTCGTCAAGTGCATCAAAGCTCCCACAGCTTCACGAAACGGAACGTCGATCTTGGCCGCTTCGGTGCTTGCGACAAGCCGAGTGCTCAAGTCGACCGGACTTGCTGTGGCCTTGCACTCATCCATGCCGAAGCGCTTGAGGATGTCGTTGACATACCGTCGTTGGCACATCGTCACGCTGCCATCCGATTCATCCACCAGTTCGATGCCCAGTACAAAAGTACACTTGCCACTGTCGGTCATCTCGAAACGCGTCTTGAGGTCGGCCTTCGTCTGCGCAATCAACTCGAGCGAGCTGCCGGTGACCAACACGTCATCCACGTAGACCAGCACGAGCACACAGTGACCGTCGACAACCTTGATGTAGAGACATGGGTCGAACGCCGACGCCTCGAAACCGATAGAGCATACAAACTCGTCGAAAGTCTCGTTCCACACACGTGAAGCTTGCTTGAGACCGTAGATCGCCTTCACCAACTCGAGACAGTCGAAGTCGCCATCCATCTCGACGCCTTCTGGTATCACGCAGTACACCTTCTCCTTCATCACTCCGTAGAGAAAGGCTGTCACCACATCGAGTTGGTCCAGTGGCCAGTCGAAATACTTGGTGATCGCGATCACCATACGCAGTGTCACGTACTTGACCACGGGCGAGAACGTCTCTGTGTAGTCGATGCCGTACTTCTGCTTGAAGCCCTTGGCAACGAGACGCGCCTTGTATTTCTCGACCGATCCATCCGCTTTGCGCTTGATCTTGAACACCCACTTGGTGCCGATCGCGCCTTGGCCTCTTGGCAGTTTTGCCGCACGGAAAACTCCACGAAGATGCATCGACTTGAGTTCCGCCTTCACAGCATTTCGCCAGTGAGCTTGATCAGGACCATTGATCGCGTCTTGAAAAGTCACAGGTTCTGCTAGGTCCGTTGCTTCCACTGCGTTTGCACTTGCACGCCAAAATGTTGGAGGCGTCGAGTCGTCATCTTGATTGTAGACGCTTGCATCTTCTTCGTCATCAGACATCGTTTCTGGAGCACTTGATCGTCGTTTCTGGTGACGGTTGGAGACGTGTTCCGGCGCACTTGCTTGTTCCAACCCAGTTCGAGGGCGAGCTGAACGTGACATGCCGGGTCTTGCTTCACTCTTGCGCTTGCCAGTCTGCTTGTAGACGGTTTGACGCACGTCGTCCTCGTTGATCGCCAGGAGGTCGAGGTCCAACTCCGCATCTTCATCATCGTCACTTGGTCGGTCCATCGAAAAGTCAAAAGTCGATTCGTCGAAGGTGATGTCACGACTGATCACCACTTGGCCCGCCTCAATGTCGTACACTCGATAAGCTTTTGACGCTTCTTCGTAGCCCATGAACATCCCTTCACGAGCCTTCGGGTCCCACTTCAATCGCTTCTCCCTTGGTGTCAGGATAAACGCCCGACATCCAAACACGCGCATGTGCTTGACACTTGGTTTCGACTTGTACACGATCTCGAACGGAGTCTTGTGGTCGATCTTGGGTGAAGGCAGGCGGTTCTTGATGTAGATCGCCATCATTGCCGCTTCAGCCCAGAAACACTTCTCCAGATTTGCATGATGCAACAAGCTGCGTCCGATCATGACAATGGTCCTTATCGCGCGTTCTGCGGTGCCGTTGGTCTGGTGTGCATACGGCACCGTGATCTGTTGTTCGATACCATGATCTTCGTAGAAGGTCTTGATGGAGTTGGTCGCAAACTCATGCACTCCATCGTGCCGAACAAACTTGATCTTCGTGCCGAACTGAGTTTGAATCTTGATGATGTGGTTCTTGATACAGTCTTCACTCTCAGACTTGGACCGCAGACAGAAGCCCTTCATGCAACCGCTAGCTTCGTCAACCACAAGCAGTAAGTATCTGCTGCCGCCGATCGAGACTTGTTCCATTGGCCCGCAGATGTCGAAGTGCAGCAACTCGAACACACCATATTGGCGTTTGTCACGGTTGGTTGGGAATGGTTTTTTGACCATCTTTCCTTGCTGGCAACCGCGACACACACTTGGACCAGTCGAGTTGAGAGGTGCCTTGGCGTCCTTGATCATGCCAGTGGCCACCATCTTGCGCAGAACTTCGAGGGGTGCATGACCCATGCGCGCATGCAAGTCGATGGTCCCATTGCGTGTTGCTGCATTTGCCGATCGTTGAGGAGTCCGCAGCCAGTAAAGTCCATCGACGAGATCCGCTGTTGCCACGACTTGTGTGGAATTCTTGCGCTTCACTTGCATCTTGGATCCATCGAACACGACTTGGAACCTGCCACCCTTGTTGATCTGTGGCACCGAAAGCAGATTCTTGCTCATACTTGGTACGAACAGTGCGTCCTTGATCTCGATGTCGCGTTCGTCACCATTGGGCAGAACCACCCGTTCCATGATGGTTCCCACACCCTTGATCGCAGCCTTGCTGCCATCAGCCACTGATAGTTCGCCTTCCTCTCGCTCATTCAGGCTTGCAAACTTGGCCTTGTCGTTGCAGATGTGATGCGTCGCACCGCTGTCGACTGCCCACATCCCTGGCATATTCTTGCCCGTCGAAAGTCCAGCCTCCAGCGAAACCGCGAACGCAACTCGATCGTAGTTGTCATCGTAGTTGCTGTTGGTTCGCCACTGAACGTTGTTGGCTCCGCGTCCACGAGCATTGTTGCCGCCGCGTCGAGCTCCACCTTGATTTTCGTCCTTCTGCTTGGTCCAGCACCGCTCCGCCGTGTGCCCCAATTTTCCGCAGTATGTACACTGGCGAGGTTCACGCTCGGCACTGAACGCCTTCGCCGCGTCTTCAGTCTTCACCGATGTCGTCTTGTCACCTTGTCTCTTGATGTGCTCATTCGTGAGCACTCTCACGACGTCTCGCGATCGCAGTTCCGCGCTGCTCATCTCCAAGTTGAGAACGACGTTCTCGTAGCTCTTGGGGAGGCTGCGCAACAAGCAGATCGCCACGTCCTCGTCCTCCATCTTGGCGCCGATGCTGCTGAGCTTCGCGCTGATGTTGAGGACTTCGTTGCAATGATGCATCACATTGCCGCCTTCCGCCATCTCCATGCGGAACAGCTGGCGCTTCAAGTAGATGCGTCCAGCCTTCTGCGACCCGCCGTACAGCGTCTTCAAACGCGCCCACGCGACCCACGCCTCTTCACAGTCATCAACCACGTGATGATAATCCGCGCTCATGTGCAGCAGCATCAAGCCGAACGCAATGTTGTTCGTCTTGATGTAGTCGTCACTGGCGCGAGGATCGGCGAAGGTGGGGGTGGTCTCCCGGTTCACCACGTGCCACGCCGACTTGGTCAGGAACACGCCACGCATGTAGCGGCTCCACGTCGCGTAGTTGTCGCCGTCGAACTTGTTGATGGAGATCTTGGTGGTGGCATCATGAGCAGAGGACATCGTGCTTGGGCTCATAACCTGTTGATTGGTGAAAAGCTTGACGACCGAAACTGGGAGTGATGCTGGGAGTCTACTCGGAAGACCGGAGAAGACACTTGGGGGGTAGATGGAAGATTGGAAAGTGATTGATTATCGGGGCTTACTACTTACTACATGATTTATATGTGGTGCACATATAAATCATGTGAAGCGTCTCATCATCCTACGCGTCTAATCAACTATGGTAATTACCGTAAGAACTACGTCGTAAATACTAAGCTGAACAGGCGGTTCGGATTGGACCGGTCACGGTTACCAATACTGGTAGAAACCGATGACCGTCAACAGGCACCAAGTCGTACCTCTGGCACCTTCGGCTTGGCCACATAGGTCACGATGGACTCAATTGCATCGTGACGAAGAACATTGGAATTGGCATCGACATATCTTCGGTGAAGAAGTGGGACGTGTGTGAAGGTTGTGCTCTGGGAAAACAGACTCGAGTGCGCTTCCAATCAAACACTACAGCTCGCACCTCCAAACTCCTCGAAGTGATTCACAGCGACGTATGCGGACCGATGTCGATGGCAACTTTCAGTGGAAAACGGTACTTCGTGACATTCATTGATGACAAGTCAAGATACTGTGTCGTCTATCTGCTCAAGAGCAAATCTGAAGTTGCGGCGAAGTTCATGGAATACGCTGCGATGGCCGAAACGCAAACCGGGAAGCGCGTGAAGTACCTTCAAAGCGACAATGGGGGTGAATACAAGTCCGACAAGCTGGCACGATTCTGCGCGGAACGGGGAATACAACAAAGGTTCACACCCCCATATACTCCTCAGCTAAACGGAGTAGCTGAGAGAATGAATCGCACGCTGGTCGAGTGTGCGCGTTGCATGATGGAACACGCTGGACTGGGAAAGAGCTACTGGGGTGAAGCAGTGATGACGGCGATGTTTCTTCGAAACCGCTGTCCAACACGTGCCATTCACCAAGACAAGTCTCCATATCAAGTGTGGACGATGAAGAAACCGATTCTGGCCAACCTTAAAGTGTTTGGATGCCACGCGTATGTTCAAGTGCCTCAAGACAAACGCGCGAAGTTCGACTCCAAGTCATCACTCTGTCGTTTCCTGGGATACGCCGAACACCAGAAGTCATATCGATTTGAGGAAGTGTCAACAGGAGCGATCAAGATCAGTCGCGATGCCACATTCATGGAAGACAATTTTGATGAAGGTCCGCGCAACTACAACGATGAGTCAAGTGTCGTTGAGTTTGATGATCATGATGAGGACGAAGAAAAAGAAGAAGGTAAAACTGACGACGACATGGACTCGAGCGACGATGACAACGAAGACACCAGGTCTTCAAAGAGCAACATCAAGAGACACACGCGCACTCAATCACTTGAGAAAGCTACCGTCATTCCAAGTCCCAAGCGAAGAACGTACAGAGGTCCGTCGCTTGAGCATGTGTCAGCGGCTGCAATGGATTTTGAAGCAGCCTACATCGTTGATTCAGTGGGGGAAACGCCGACTACATTCAAGTCGGCGATGAAATCAAGCGACTCCGGCAAGTGGAAAGAAGCGTGTGACTCGGAGTTCGACTCGCTTCAGAGAAACGACACGTGGGAAATCGTGCCTCTTCCGAAAGGTCGCAAGGCCATCGGGTGCCGATGGGTTTTTCGTGTAAAGGAGAATCAATATGGCGAAGTTGAACGTTTCAAGGCAAGACTTGTGGCCAAAGGATTCTCACAGAAATTCGGAGTTGACTATGAAGAAACTTTCGCACCGGTGGCCAAGTTCACATCGATTCGTGTGGTGCTCAGTATGGCGGCCAAGTACGGCCTAATGCTACATCAGATGGACGTCAAGACAGCGTTTCTTAACGGCTCCCTCAACGAAGACATCTACATGAACCAGCCGGACGGATACCTGGATGCAACACAGCCGGACTATGTGTGCAAGCTAAAGAGATCACTCTACGGCTTGAAGCAATCGCCTCGCATGTGGAACCAAACAATCGATGGGTTCATGATCAAGATGGGATTCAAGAAGTGCGAATCGGACCACTGCATCTACATCAAGCGAGACGACCAAGACATGATTCTCGTGGTGCTCTACGTCGATGATCTCATCCTGGCCAGCAGCAACAACGAACTCCTCAAGTCGACCAAGATGGCGCTGAGCAAACGCTTCGAAATGACGGATCTCGGTGAGCTCGATTACTTTCTCGGCATGGAGATCAAGAACGACCGTAAGACGGGAATGGTGACTGTACAACAAACCAAGTTTCTCAAGTCCGTGTTGACCAAGTTCGGAATGGATAACAGCAAGCCAGTGAAGACGCCTCAAGATCCCGGCCTGAAGCTAACCAAGAACATGTGTGAACAAGAATGCAAGCACGAAGACACCATGTGCAACGTGCCATATCGAAGTGCTGTCGGAGGCATCATGTATCTCATGGTCGCCACACGTCCGGATCTAGCTGCTGCAGTGGGATCATTATCCCAGTTCTCGTCCGACCCATGCCCGACTCACTGGCAAGCTTTGAAGCGTGTGCTGAGATACCTGCAAGCAACGCCCAATCATGGTCTTGAGTTTACACGTGAAGAAGGAAGCCGTATCTGCGGGTACACCGACGCAGACTGGGCCGGCGACATTGAGTCAAGACGAAGTACAAGCGGCTATGTGTTCATGATGAACGGAGGATGCATCAGCTGGAAAAGCCAGAAACAACGGACGGTCGCGCTATCTTCAACAGAAGCAGAATACATGGCGCTTTCCGAAGCAACCAAAGAAGCAGTATGGCTCAAGGTGCTTTTGGGGGAACTTGGTGAGATGACAAGCGACGAAGCGATCAAGATGTATGAAGACAACCAAGGATCAATCGCTCTTGCCAAGAACCCGGAGTTCCATAAGAGAACAAAACACATCGACATACGCTACCATTTTGTGCGTGAGAAGGTGGAATCAGGTGAAGTCGTTTTGGAGTATTGCCCGACTCAAGATATGCTGGCAGACATGATGACCAAGCCGATCGCCGCTGTACAATTTGAAAACATTCGCGATCGACTTGGGATCCAAGGTGCCGCAGCTAACGAGTCGAGAGGGAGTGTTGAAAAGACAGCGGCTGTGAAGAAGACACCTCGTCAAGCTGCGTCAAGTGTTGAAGCAAGTGGAAGACCAAGCTTCGCTATACCGGTGGGTACCGGTATGTACCAGTAAGGGCGAAGTCAGGAAATGACGTCATTGGATGATGTCATTGCATGACGTCAGTGGGTGACGTCACTGGATGACGTCAGTGGGTGACGTCACTGGATGACGTCACTGCGAATAATAGGCTTAGGGGTAGTATTCAAAGTTGCGAACTAAGTACCTATTATAAATATATATTCACTTTGCGTTTGCACTCGGACCAAGAAGTCTAAAGTTCATCAATATCAATGTGCTTGGCACGGCCGTGGTTGACCGGGTTCTTCGTCATCTTGATACATGACTGATTGTCTTCATGAATCATGAGTTCCGGTCCTTCTTCATTGGCAGCCATCACGATCTCACAAAGTAGACGATGAATCCACTTGCCCTCTTGAATCGCCAAGCTGAGTGCGATGTATTCAGCTTCAGTCGTGGACAACGAAACACTTGGATCTTTCTTGCTGCCCCAACTCACTGGCGAAACAGGTAGCATGAACGTGTACTCCAAAGTTGACTTGCGGTCGGTAAGATCACCAGCCCAATCCGCATCCGAATATCCACGGAAGTCGATCCTTGCACTTGGCTTGTAGCAAATTCCATGCGTCTTAGTGCCTTGTAGGTAGCGAAAGATACGCTTAACTGCAACCCAGTGTTCTTCTTGGGGATTTTCCATGAACCGCGACACATAGCCCACAGCAAACGCAATGTCCGGACGCGTTGCAGTGGTCAGGTGCATCAACGCACCAACAGCTTCGCGAAAAGGAGCATCGACCTTGGTAGTTGCATCACTTGAAACAAGTCGAGAGCTCATGTCGACTGGACTTGCGACTGCCTTGCAATCATCCATGCCAAAGCGCTTGAGGATATCATCGACATACCGACGCTGACATAGTGTCACACTGCCATCTTCACCGTCCAACAAAAAGCTCGATCCCAAGAACAAACGCACACTTGCCGCTGTCCGTCATCTCGAACCGCGTCTTCAGGTCGTTCTTGGTTTGTGCAATCAGCTCGAGCGAGCTTCCAGTCGCCAAGACGTCGTCCACGTAGACCAGTATAAACACGCAATGGCCGTCCGATGTCTTGATGTAGAGACATGGGTCGAAGTCCGATACTTGAAATCCGATGGAGCACACATACTCGTCGAACGTCTCGTTCCACACTCGCGACGCTTGCTTGAGGCCGTAAATTGACTTCACCAATTCCAGGCAGTCGAACGTACTGTCAAGTTCGACGCCTTCAGGAATCACGCAGAACACTTGTTCCTTCATGACGCCATACAGGAAAGCTGTCACCACATCAAGCTGGTAGATGGGCCATCCAAAATGCTTGGAAATTGCGATCACCATTCTCAGCGTCACATACTTGACCACGGGCGAAAACGTCTCCGTGTAGTCGATGCCATACTTCTGGCGAAAACCCTTTACCACGAGACTTGCCTTGTACTTCTCGATGGATCCGTCCGCTTTACGCTTGATCATGAAGATCCACTTGGTACCAATGGCACGCTGTCCGTTGGGCAAACTTGGTTGCACGAAACACTCCACGAAGTCGCATTGACTCGAGCTCCGCATGAATTGCTTTTCTCCAGTGCACTTGATCCGGGCCGGTCACTGCTGCTTCAAATGTCGACGGTTCCGACAATTCCACTGCTGCTTCAACAGCATTTGCACTCGCACGCAAAACACAGGCGGTGTTGAATCACCAGAATCCTTCGTTTCTTCATCTTCTTCTTCTTGGCGTGACGAGTTGTTTTCCGGCGCGCTTGACTCTTCTAGTCCTGGTCGTTGACGCACTGCACGCGGTCGTGGAGCTGCTGTATCTTCATCATTGAGTCGGTTCTTGCGCTTGACTGTTTGCTGATACTCCATTTGACGCAGCTCTTCGTCATCAAGATCCAGCAATTCGAAGTCCAGGTCATCGACATCTTCATCAGTGATCGGCAGTTGAAGTCCAAAGGTGGACTCGTCGAAGTTAACATCCCGACTGACAACAACCCGCCCCTCCTCGATGTCAAATACACGATATGCCTTGGACACTTCTTCGTAGCCCACGAATATGCCAGCGCGAGCCTTGGGATCCCACTTGAGTCGCTTCTCTTTCGGAGTCAGTATAAACGTCTGACAGCCGAATGTTCGCATGTGCTTGACGCTTGGTTTCAAGTTGTAGACGATCTCAAACGGGGTCTTGTGCACGACTTTAGGTGACGGCAGTCGATTCTTGACGTAGATGGCCGTCATCGCTGCTTCGGCCCAGAAACACTTGTCCGGTTTGGCATGATGAAGCATGCTGCGGCCGATCGTGACAATAGTCCTAATGGCACGCTCTGCTGTTCCGTTTGTTTGATGTGCATACGGCACCGTTGTCTGCTGTTCAATGCCTTCGTCTTCGTAGAACAGTTGAAGCGAGTTGGTTGCAAACTCGCGAGCTCCGTCGTGTCGCACGAACTTGACCTTCTTACAGAATTGCGTCTGTACCATGGTGATATATTTCCGGATGTAGTCTTCACTCTCGGACTTCACTCGTAGACAAAAGCCCTTCATGCATCCACTGGCTTCGTCGATGATCAGCAGCAAATATTTGCTGCCACCGAGCGAATCCTTTTCCATGGGCCCGCAGATGTCCAGATGAAGTAGCTCAAACGTATCGTAGCTGCGCTTGTCTCGGTTGCTTGGAAATGGTTTTTGGACCATTTTCCCTTGTTGACATCCTCGACATGTAGTTGCTCCACCCGACTTGAGAGGGACTCGCACATCCTTGATCATGTTGGTCGCGATCATCTTGCGAAGTACATCGACTGGAGCATGACCCATTCTCGCATGTAGATCGGCACAACTGGTTCCACTTGTTGTCACATTCGCTGATCGTTGAGTCGTCCGAAGCCAGTAGAGTCCATCCACGAGATCCGCTGTCGCCACCACTTGCTGTGAGTTCTTGAGAGTCACATACATCTTGGACCCGTCAAACACGAGTTGAAAGTTGCCATGGCTGTTAATCTGTGGCACCGAGAGCAGGTTCTTGCTCATACTTGGAACATATAGCGCGTTCTTGATTTCGATCTCACGCTCTTCACCGTTGGGCAGAACCACCTTTTCCATGATGGTTCCCACACCCTTGATGGCCACCTTGTTGCCATCAGCCACCAAGCGTTCGCCCTCATTGCTGTTGACGGTCATCGGTTTTCTATCAGTGTTGGTAACCGTGACCGGTCCAATCCGAACCGCCTGTTCAGCTTAGTATTTACGACGTAGTTCTTACGGTAATTACCATAGTTGATTAGACGCGTAGGATGATGAGACGCTTCACATGATTTATATGTGCACCACATATAAATCATGTAGTAAGTAGTAAGCCCCGATAATCAATCACTTTCCAATCTTCCATCTACCCCTAAGTGTCTTCTCCGGTCTTCCGAGTAGACTCCCAGCATCACTCCCAGTTTCGGTCGTCAAGCTTTTCACCCATCAACAGGTTATGAGCCCAAGCACGATGTCCTCTGCTCATGATGCCACCACCAAGATCTCCATTGACAAGTTCGACGGCGACAACTACGCGACGTGGAGCCGCTACATGCGTGGCGTGTTCCTGACCAAGTCGGCGTGGCACGTGGTGAACCGGGAGACCACCCCCACCTTCGCCGATCCTCGCGCCAGTGACGACTACATCAAGACGAACAACATTGCGTTCGGCTTAATGCTGCTGCACATGAGCGCGGATTATCATCACGTGGTTGATGACTGTGAAGAGGCGTGGGTCGCGTGGGCGCGTTTGAAGACGCTGTACGGCGGGTCGCAGAAGGCTGGACGCATCTACTTGAAGCGCCAGCTGCTCAGCATGGAGATGGCGGAAGGCGGCAATGTGATGCATCATTGCAACGAAGTCCTCAACGTCAGCGCGAAGCTCAGCAGCATCGGCGCCAAGATGGAGGACGAGGACGTGGCGATCTGCTTGTTGCGCAGCCTCCCCAAGAGCTACGAGAACGTCGTTCTCAACTTGGAGATGAGCAGCGCGGAACTGCGATCGCGAGACGTCGTGAGAGTGCTCACGAATGAGCACATCAAGAGACAAGGTGACAAGACGACATCGGTGAAGACTGAAGACGCGGCGGAGGCGTTCAGTGCCGAGCGTGAACCTCGCCAGTGTACATACTGCGGAAAATTGGGGCACACGGCGGAACGGTGCTGGACCAAGCAGAAGGACGAAAATCAAGGTGGAGATCGACGCGGCGGCAACAATGCTCGTGGACGCGGAGCCAACAACGTTCAGTGGCGAACCAACAGCAACTACGACGACAACTACGATCGAGTTGCGTTCGCGGTTTCGCTGGAGGCTGGACTTTCGACGGGCAAGAATATGCCAAGGATGTGGGCAGTCGACAGCGGTGCGACGCATCACATCTGCAACGACAAAGCCAAGTTTGCAAGCCTGAATGAGCGAGAGGAAGGCGAACTATCAGTGGCTGATGGCAGCAAGGCTGCGATCAAGGGTGTGGAACCATCATGGAACGGGTGGTTCTGCCCAATGGTGACGAACGCGACATCGAGATCAAGGACGCACTGTTCGTACCAAGTATGAGCAAGAATCTGCTTTCGGTGCCACAGATCAACAAGGGTGGCAGGTTCCAAGTCGTGTTCGATGGATCCAAGATGCAAGTGAAGCGCAAGAATTCCACACAAGTCGTGGCAACAGCGGATCTCGTCGATGGACTTTACTGGCTGCGGACTCCTCAACGATCGGCAAATGCAGCAACACGCAATGGGACCATCGATTTTTTTTTTTTTGCATGCGCGCATGGGTCATGCACCCCTCGAAGTTCTGCGCAAGATGGTGGCCACTGGCATGATCAAGGACGCCAAGGCACCTCTCAACTCGACTGGTCCAAGTGTGTGTCGCGGTTGCCAGCAAGGAAAGATGGTCAAAAAACCATTCCCAACCAACCGTGACAAACGCCAATATGGTGTGTTCGAGTTGCTGCACTTCGACATCTGCGGGCCAATGGAACAAGTCTCGATCGGCGGCAGCAGATACTTACTGCTTGTGGTTGACGAAGCTAGCGGTTGCATGAAGGGCTTCTGTCTGCGGTCCAAGTCTGAGAGTGAAGACTGTATCAAGAACCACATCATCAAGATTCAAACTCAGTTCGGCACGAAGATCAAGTTTGTTCGGCACGATGGAGCGCATGAGTTTGCGACCAACTCCATCAAGACCTTCTACGAAGATCATGGTATCGAACAACAGATCACGGTGCCGTATGCACACCAGACAAACGGCACCGCAGAACGCGCGATAAGGACCATCGTCACGATCGGACGCAGCTTGTTGCATCATGCAAAGCTGGAGAAGTGTTCCTGGGCTGAAGCGGCAATGACGGCGATCTACATCAAGAACCGCCTGCCTTCACCCAAGATCGACCACAAGACTCCGTTCGAGATCGTGTACAAGTCGAAACCAAGTGTCAAGCACATGCGCGTGTTTGGATGTCGGGCGTTTATCCTGACACCAAGGGAGAAGCGATTGAAGTGGGACCCGAAGGCTCGTGAAGGGATGTTCATGGGCTACGAAGAAGCGTCAAAAGCTTATCGAGTGTACGACATTGAGGCGGGCCAAGTGGTGATCAGTCGTGACATCACCTTCGACGAATCGACTTTTGACTTTTCGATGGACCGACCAAGTGACGATGATGAAGATGCGGAGTTGGACCTCGACCTCCTGGCGATCAACGAGGACGACGTGCGTCAAACCGTCTACAAGCAGACTGGCAAGCGCAAGAGTGAAGCAAGACCCGGCATGTCACGTTCAGCTCGCCCTCGAACTGGGTTGGAACAAGCAAGTGCGCCGGAATACGTCTCCAACCGTCACCAGAAACGACGATCAAGTGCTCCAGAAACGATGTCTGATGACGAAGAAGATGCAAGCGTCTACAATCAAGATGACGACTCGACGCCTCCAACATTTTGGCGTGCAAGTGCAAACGCAGTGGAAGCAACGGACCTAGCAGAACCTGTGACTTTTCAAGACGCGATCAATGGTCCTGATCAAGCTCACTGGCGAAATGCTGTGAAGGCGGAACTCAAGTCGATGCATCTTCGTGGAGTTTTCCGTGCGGCAAAACTGCCAAGAGGCCAAGGCGCGATCGGCACCAAGTGGGTGTTCAAGATCAAGCGCAAAGCGGATGGATCGGTCGAGAAATACAAGGCGCGTCTCGTTGCCAAGGGCTTCAAGCAGAAGTACGGCATCGACTACACAGAGACGTTCTCGCCCGTGGTCAAGTACGTGACACTGCGTATGGTGATCGCGATCACCAAGTATTTCGACTGGCCACTGGACCAACTCGATGTGGTGACAGCCTTTCTCTACGGAGTGATGAAGGAGAAGGTGTACTGCGTGATACCAGAAGGCGTCGAGATGGATGGCGACTTCGACTGTCTCGAGTTGGTGAAGGCGATCTACGGTCTCAAGCAAGCTTCACGTGTGTGGAACGAGACTTTCGACGAGTTTGTATGCTCTATCGGTTTCGAGGCGTCGGCGTTCGACCCATGTCTCTACATCAAGGTTGTCGACGGTCACTGTGTGCTCGTGCTGGTCTACGTGGATGACGTGTTGGTCACCGGCAGCTCGCTCGAGTTGATTGCGCAGACGAAGGCCGACCTCAAGACGCGTTTCGAGATGACCGACAGTGGCAAGTGTACTTTTGTACTGGGCATCGAACTGGTGGATGAATCGGATGGCAGCGTGACGATGTGCCAACGACGGTATGTCAACGACATCCTCAAGCGCTTCGGCATGGATGAGTGCAAGGCCACAGCAAGTCCGGTCGACTTGAGCACTCGGCTTGTCGCAAGCACCGAAGCGGCCAAGATCGACGTTCCGTTTCGTGAAGCTGTGGGAGCTTTGATGCACTTGACGACTGCGACGCGCCCGGACATTGCGTATGCTGTGGGGTACGTCTCGCGCTTCATGAAGAATCCGCAGCAAGAACATTGGACGGCGGTGAAGCGCATCTTTCGTTACTTGCAAGGGACCAAGTCGCACGGACTCCGCTTCCAGCCAAGCGACAAGATCGACTTTCGTGGCTACTCGGACGCGGACTGGGCCGGCGACCACGCTGATCGCAAGTCGACTTCGGGTTACACTTTCATGCTGATGGGTGCTCCTGTGAGTTGGGGAAGCAAGAAGCAGTCAAGTGTGTCGCTGTCGACGAGTGAAGCGGAATACATCGCACTGAGTCTGGCCATCCAGGAAGGCAAGTGGGTGCATCGCCTGCTATGCGAGATTTTGGCGGCCGCAAACGAACCAGGACCGGACCTCGTCATCCGTGAAGACAATCAGTCATGTATCAAGATGACGAAGAATCCAGTGAATCATGGCCGTGCCAAGCACATTGATATCAAGTACCATCACATCCGTGATGAGGTCAAGCGCGGTGAAGTGAAGCTCAAGTATTGTGAAACTGCGGTGATGTTAGCGGACATCATGACGAAGGGACTTCATGGACCACGCCACAAGGAGATGACGACGGCTCTCGGCATTCGTGCGAGTTCGGATTGAGGGGGCGTGTTGACGGTCCTCGTTTTCCTACCAGTATTGGTAACCGTGACCGGTCCAATCCGAACCGCCTGTTCAGCTTAGTATTTACGACGTAGTTCTTACGGTAATTACCATAGTTGATTAGACGCGTAGGATGATGAGACGCTTCACATGATTTATATGTGCACCACATATAAATCATGTAGTAAGTAGTAAGCCCCGATAATCAATCACTTTCCAATCTTCCATCTACCCCTAAGTGTCTTCTCCGGTCTTCCGAGTAGACTCCCAGCATCACTCCCAGTTTCGGTCGTCAAGCTTTTCACCAATCAACAATTATCGGGACTTACTACTTACTACATGATTTATATGTGGTGTACATATAAATCATGTGAAGCGTCTCATCATCCTACGCGTCTAATCAACTATGGTAATTACCGTAAGAACTACGTCGTAAATACTAGGCTGAACAGGCGGTTCGGATTGGACCGGTCACGGTTACCAACACTGGTAGAAAACCGATGACCGTCAACACGCCCCCTCAATCCGAATGCTCACGAATCCCGAGAGCCGTCGTCATCTCCTTGTGGCGTGGTCCATGAAGTCCCTTCGTCATGATGTCCGCTAACATCACCGCAGTTTCACAATACTTGAGCTTCACTTCACCGCGCTTGACCTCATCACGGATGTGATGGTACTTGATATCAATGTGCTTGGCACGGCCGTGATTGACCGGGTTCTTCGTCATCTTGATACATGACTGATTGTCTTCATGAATCATGAGTTCCGGTCCTTCTTCATTGGCAGCCATCACGATCTCACAAAGCAGACGATGAATCCACTTGCCCTCTTGAATCGCCAAGCTGAGTGCGATGTATTCAGCTTCAGTCGTGGACAACGAAACACTTGGATCTTTCTTGCTGCCCCAACTCACTGGCGCACCGAGTAGCATGAACGTGTACCCCGATGTTGACTTGCGGTCGGTAAGATCACCAGCCCAATCCGCATCCGAATATCCACGGAAGTCGATCCTTGCACTTGGCTTGTAGCAAATTCCATGCGTCTTAGTGCCTTGTAGGTAGCGAAAGATACGCTTAACTGCAACCCAGTGTTCTTCTTGGGGATTTTCCATGAACCGCGACACATAGCTCACAGCAAACGCAATGTCCGGACGCGTTGCAGTGGTCAGGTGCATCAACGCACCAACAGCTTCGCGAAAAGGAGCATCGACCTTGGTAGTTGCATCACTTGAAACAAGTCGAGAGCTCATGTCGACTGGACTTGCGACTGCCTTGCAATCATCCATGCCAAAGCGCTTGAGGATATCATCGACATACCGACGCTGACATAGTGTCACACTGCCATCTTCACCGTCCAACAAAAAGTTCGATCCCAAGAACAAACGCACACTTGCCGCTGTCCGTCATCTCGAACCGGGTCTTCAGGTCGTTCTTGGTTTGTGCAATCAGCTCGAGCGAGCTTCCAGTCACCAAGACGTCGTCCACGTAGACCAGTATAAACACGCAATGGCCGTCCGATGTCTTGATGTAGAGACATGGGTCGAAGCCTGACACTTGAAATCCAATGGAACACACACTCGTCAAAAGTCTCGTTCCATACTCGCAAAGCTTGCTTCAGGCCGTAAATTGCCTTCACCAATTCCAGGCAGTCGAACGTACTGTCAAGTTCGACGCCTTCAGGAATCACGCAGAACACTTGTTCCTTCATGACGCCATACAGGAAAGCTGTCACCACATCAAGCTGGTCGATGGGCCATCCAAAATGCTTGGAAATTGCGATCACCATTCTCAGCGTCACATACTTGACCACGGGCGAAAACGTCTCCGTGTAGTCGATTCCATACTTCTGGCGAAAACCCTTTGCCACGAGACGTGCCTTGTACTTCTCGATGGATCCGTCCGCTTTACGCTTGATCATGAAGATCCACTTGGTACCAATGGCACGCTGTCCGTTGGGCAAACTTGGTTGCACGAAACACTCCACGAAGTCGCATTGACTCGAGCTCCGCATGAATTGCTTTTCTCCAGTGCACTTGATCCGGGCCGGTCACTGCTGCTTCAAATGTCGACGGTTCCGACAATTCCACTGCTGCTTCAACAGCATTTGCACTCGCACGCAAAACACAGGCGGTGTTGAATCACCAGAATCCTTCGTTTCTTCATCTTCTTCTTCTTGGCGTGACGAGTTGTTTTCCGGCGCGCTTGACTCTTCTAGTCCTGGTCGTTGACGCACTGCACGCGGTCGTGGAGCTGCTGTATCTTCATCATTGAGTCGGTTCTTGCGCTTGACTGTTTGCTGATACTCCATTTGACGCAGCTCTTCGTCATCAAGATCCAGCAATTCGAAGTCCAGGTCATCGACATCTTCATCAGTGATCGGCAGTTGAAGTCCAAAGGTGGACTCGTCGAAGTTAACATCCCGACTGACAACAACCCGCCCCTCCTCGATGTCAAATACACGATATGCCTTGGACACTTCTTCGTAGCCCACGGATATGCCAGCGCGAGCCTTGAGATCCCACTTGAGTCGCTTCTCTTTAGGCGTCAGTATGTACGTCTGACATCCGAATGTTCGCATGTGCTTGACGCTTGGTTTCAAGTTGTAGACGATCTCAAACGGG